GCGCACCGCGCGCCCATCACCCCTCCTAGGTGTAGAGCCCCGCGGCGTGGTGAAGGAGGTGGGCCTTAATCTCCAGCCTTGATGCGATCAGTATCTGCCGCGGAGGGCTGGACGAACGGACAGCGGCGCGGCTAGAACTACACAATAGCACAATGTTGGGGGAAAAAGTATACATCTGAAAAGTGACGTCGGGCCGGCGGTGGAAGATGGAGGGAATAATTCGTGTAATTCCCCCCCCCCCCTGCGTTTCGTGCTGCCCTGACTTTGATCTCATTCCGTCTTTTCCCCTTTTATTTTTGCAGGGTAGAGGATGGTCGGGCTGGCTGGGCTCGGGACGCTGCGGCGCCGGCACGGCCTGCTGGGCCTCGTCGTGCTGGCCGCCTTCATGTCCTGCAGCATGATGGTGCTCGTCTCTGGGCCGGACCTGAGCTCGGAGCAGGCGCTCGTCCGGCGGGTGGCGGAGCTGCAGGCGCGCTCGCAGCACCTCGACGCGCTGTACCGCTCGCGCATCGCCGACATGCGGGGCCTGTCCCAGCACCTCGGCCACCTCGTGTCCTCCGTCAACCGGTCGGGGTCGCTCAGCGTTGAGGTTAGTCCATAGCGTGAGCTTTTCGCGATCTCATTCTCTTGGAGAGGCCTACATCCGAGTAGGAAGAACCGAACTCTGGAATGCGGCAGCGGGCAATTTGCTTTACCCGATTCCATGCATAAATGCCCCACACACAAACCAATCCCAATACCACAGTATTGGCTTCCGATTTGAAATGAAACCTGCAGGATCGGGTGCGGGGAGCTAGTGGGTGGGACTTGAGTTCCTGAAAATGATTTGACCTCTTGTTGCGATTTGGCCCACAGACGCAACAACTGATGCGGAACCTGAGCGCCCTCCGGCTGAACCTGGACGACCCGGGCAACCAGCCGCTGCAGCTGCCCAACGCGTACCACTTCATGCCGCACCTGCTGGACGGCCCGGCGGGCCCGGGCAGCTCGGCCTCGCTGCGGCCCGCCTTCTGCATGTGCAGCGCGCGCCGCAGCGGGGTGTCCATGGTGCTGGGCGTGCCCACGGTGCGGCGGCAGGTGCAGAGCTACCTGCTGGCCACGCTCGACAACCTGGTCAACTCCATGACCCCCGAGGAGAGCAACGACACCCTCATCGTCGTGTTTGTCGCGGAGGTACGTCTCTGGCGCGTGTGGCCGCAGTGGCGCGAAGGCGATGCCGCTCTCCGAGGGGTCCTTCACTCAAAAAAAAATCAGTGTACACCCATAAAAAAAATCACGAAAAATCATGAAAAAATCACAAAAAAAAACAGAAAAAATCAACGAAAAGTCAGAAAAAATCACAAAAAATCAAGAAAAAACAGAAAAATTGGTGTACGCTCACTCTAACTCGTTTTCCTCGCTGCGCTTTCCAGACCGACTTGGAGTACGTGAAGCAGGTCGCTGCCCAGATCAAGGACCAGTTCGAGAGCGAGGTGCAGGCCGGGCTGATCGAGCTCATCTCACCGCCCGTGTCGTACTACCCCGACCTGAACAACCTCCGCCTCACGCTGGGCGACTCGATGGAGCGGGTGCGCTGGCGGACCAAGCAGAACCTCGACTTCGCCTTCCTCATGATGTACTCGCAGCCCAGGGCCACGTTCTACGTCCAGCTGGAGGACGACATCCTGGCCAAGAAGAACTTTATCTCGACCATGAAAAACTTCGCCCTCGAGAAAACGGCGCAGCGCGAGCCGTGGTTTGTGCTCGAGTTCTGCCAACTCGGCTTCATCGGTATCTATCCTTTGTCTAGATTTTACTTTTTTGTCTATGAAGTCACAGTGAAATTCGATCAACAATTCTGTATTCATTTTCAGGGAAGATGTTCAAGTGTGTGGAACTCCCTTGGCTGGTTCAGTTCTTCCTGATGTTCTACAATGACAAGCCCGTAGATTGGCTACTGGACCATGTTATTTTCACAAAAGTTTGTAGCCCTGAGAAAGATCAGGTCAGTATAAATTTAATAATTTCCTTACTAGTTGAAATTTACCTAGGCAAATGTAGCTGTTTTTAACATTTTACTCTGTCTTCCAGAAACACTGCAAAAAGGCTAAGTCAGAACTCTGGATACAATATAAACCATCTCTGTTCCAACACATTGGAACTCACTCCTCATTACGTGGAAAAGTTCAAAAGCTAAAGGTTTATACCAATTACAATTTTATCTCCTTTCTATGACTTTCTTTAACACCTCTCATTAATTCTAATACTTCCCTTATGCAGGATAAACAATTTGGTAAGGTGGCTTTATTTCACCCCCATTGGAACCCACCAGCAGCTGTTGAATCTGATATCAAACCTTACAAGCAGTATAATTTGCAGAAAGCTTACTTAGGAGAAACCTTTTTTTGGGGTCTATTACCCCAGCCGGGTGATACCCTGACTTTTCGCTTTCATTCGCCAATTTTCATAAAAAGGTAAGTTGAGTTACTTACGGTTCTATGATTTACACAAATTGAACATCCAAAGTTGCGTGACATTCTGATTTTTCTTTCTGCTTTTGTTTCCTTTTAGATTCTTATTCAGAAGTGGAAATGCAGAGCATCCTTCTGATCGACTTTATAACACATCTGTTGAAGTGAGACCAGCAAAGGTCAAACATTTGGAACCTGGTCTTGGATTCAATGTTACGCATGATGGATTTGTAGTAGTAGGTTGGTGTCAACTTCTAAAGTTCAAGCATGGTTTCAGTATTCTGACTTCAGTGAATTATTTCTAACATGAATTTTTTTTTTTTTAGGGCAATTTGATGGCATGGGAGTTTGTGAAGGTAATGTTGATTTCACATTAGGGCCCATCTCTGTCTTACGTATTTACATTCACTCTGAGAGTGATAAGTGGGCTATTCTTAGTGAGGTAAGATTTCTATGGTCTCCCAATTGTTACCCAAAACTTATGGGTCAACTTTACCGCTTTTTTCTTGCTTGGTATTCACTGAGCTGATTTCTGTTACCTTTTTTTTTCCAGATTCTTATTGAAGCAGACAATGGCAGATGACATTTAAGTTCAAACACACCTCACAAAGATCGAAAACATTTTTACAGAGTTTCAAGAGGTCGTGTTTGATCATGTGAATCAGAAATATTCTTGTTAGGTCACTGTTTTAATGAACATAATGAATCAATTGATTAATAAGGATAAAAATGTATAAGACTGTGGAGCTGGATTATTTCTAAATCCTCCAGTAATTTGTGAGCTGACAGATAATGCCTAATCCTTCTGTAAAGGGACCTCTTAAACATCTGAAAAATGGTCACGCGTTTGAAAATTTAAATTCAACTCTTTACTTTTACTGTCTGATTGCTGCTGCCAAACAGGTGCTCTTTAACTTCAACTTAGAATTTTTATGCTAAAAATATTGATTGAAACAGATGAAAGTGGAGATGCACTACATTGTGCAATGAATTATTCTATTTTTATGTAGAATTATCATGAAGAGCCGATGCTAGCTCAAATTCTGGCCATGGAATTGTGCCATACTTAATACTACTGTGATATCCAGTCAGAATGGATTGGACAAATTGGTTCTGTGCTTTTTGTTAACCCTGTATTTTTTAACTATTTTGAATTTTTGTTCAGTTATTTGATTTTGTTTCAATTTTGTTCTACATATCTGATTTTTTGGTTTAAATGTTTCTTGTTCTGGAATTGGCAGGGTATATTTCTTAAGATTCTGTACATCAATTGGAGTAGTGAAGGAAGGGTTATTAAAGGAGAAAAATCTTTATTTATTCTTCTTGAAAAGAGAGGGAAGTCTTTTTATCCTATGTGGTTGTGTTTTAGATCATTTGAAAGGTGCATTTTGATATTATAAGTTCATATACATGTACAGTCATATCATGTATCTAAATGCTGTATGTGTTGTAAAACAAACATTTGATGCAGGAGAAGTTGAAAGAGTATCACCTGTTTTAATTTTATATTGTTTAAAATTTTTGTAAGTGTGTGTGATTTTTGCTACTCCGTTATATATGATGAAATGTTGTGAATATTGCCCCCTTGCCTGTTGTGCTTCCTTATCAAATAAATGCCAAACCTATTATTGTTGAGGTATCATGGTTTTCTTCATTCTGGCTGGTACTGAGTGTAGAACTTTTTACGTTGATGTGGATCTATATTTGAATTTTTATTACAGTTCATTTCAAACTCAAATATTTTTGGTGGCTTTACTACCCCTCCTATTTTCTGTATGTGGGACCACAAACTTATATGTGGTGAAATTGTATTCTAAAATAGCTTCCAAGCGGCTTGTCTCTCTTGCAATTCTGAGGAAACATTAAATATTCTGTGCCATACTTTTTGATCAAAAGGCAAACCCCATTCAGGAACCCACCAGGAATTACAGAAACACATGATATTTTGTGTTCAGTTGTCTACTTAATTATTTTAAAAATTCTGTTTAATTTATATTTGCCATGCTGTTTATGTTGAAATCACTGTTGTGTTAAAGGTGTTGAAAGCAATTTTCTGTAGTGAGAGGCAAGTGTCATGTTTTTCAATTGATTTTTTGTCTATTATCGGCTGTGATGTTGATTCTCTTCAACCTCTTACTGTTATGAAAAATATGAGGAAGGAGAAGTGTTCAAACAAAAAGCGTGTTCATTAATCGTATTTCAAGTTTTTTGCTGGAAAGGGAATACCACATAAAGAACAAAATATTAAATAATGGTTTATAAGCTTTCAACTCATTGAAAGCTGACATACTCCAATAACGGAAAACAACAAACAACTAAGAAATAACAATAAACAAGAACAACAAAAAACTTAAAAATATGTATTGGAAAGTCTCCAATTAAAATTATGTATGTACAAGATTGTTTGTACTATCCCGTATTGTTATGATGATTTAGCTGATTTTGGCGAATTTATCTTTTCCTAGTTTGGTAGATTGAAAAACTATCAAGGCTGTCTGGAAAACTCTATCATCTTTACGAACATGTGTGTTAAAAGATAATTTAATTTTTGTGTGTGAAGTAGAAAATGGACCAAATTACATAGATGTAAATAAATCTATCTTCTTAACCGGTTTCTCACTAACACTTTCCCAATTTATAATCAGTCTGTTTTTAGGGGCCTGTCCTGAATGCGCTTTTGTTTCTGGTCAGGTTTGACCATAGCTCAGGAGATTGACCTCGTAACTCTGTTCTACTTTATATCACGGTAAAACACAAATAGTCAGGCGATGTCTTCACGACTCTTAAATGGCACCTTTTTTTTTTCGTTTTTGTACTGATCCCACTTCATATTAGTCTCAAACTCAGACCGCGACCCTGTGTGTGACAAGGGCGTTGTAGGGCAGAGTGGCGGCCGTCACGCCGTCCACGCACTGCGTGGAGGGAAGGGGTTCACCAGGGGGCACTCGGAAGTCGAATCTCTGCAACATCGATGCGGTGAAGAGGAACACGTTGGAGCGAGCAAGTGTTTCTCCCAAGCAGCGGTGCTTCCCTGGAATACGGAACAATTTCAATCGTGCGATTTTAAAATCGGAAACTTATGGTCTGGTGGTGTTCAAACGGGAGTGCTCACCGAAGCCGAAGGGCAGGTACTCGTCCGGAATCTGGACCTTGCCGTCCTTGATGAAGCGCTCGGGACGGAAGTTTTCCGGGTCGCCCCACACCCGCTTGTCCATGAGGACGGAGGGGATGTTGACAATCATCATGGTCTCCTTGGGGATGAAGTGCCCCATAAGGTAGGTGTCCTTCACGGCGCGGTGCGGCACTCCGAACGTTCGCCCCATAAACATCCGGATGGACTCGAGGGCCACCGAGTCAGTGTAGGGCATGCTGCAAGCAAATGAGACGGCTGAGCAAAAGCGCCTGCCACCAGCCGGGTAGGCCGTTCCGTGGCGCACCAGCGTCGCGCTGGGTGGCCTACCTCAGCCTCACAGGCGCGCGCCTGCCACCGGCCGGGTAGGCAGTCCCGTGGCGCACCAG